CAGTCAGTACAATAACAGCAGAGAAGAGAAGTACGGGTACAACTTCAACACAACCCCCTGGCATGACTATGACATACAGTTCAACTTCTGAAATTACTTTAGGTGAAGTTACCACTAAGGCGAAAACAGTAGAACCAAGCACTGATACTACATTGGAACCAGTTAGTACAATGACAGCAGAGGAGAGAAGCACTGGTTCACCTCCAACACAATCCCCTGGTGTGACTGTGACACCTGAAGTCACCACTAAGGCAAAAACAGAGGAACCAGGCACTGATACTACATTGGAACCAGTGAGTACAATGACAACAGAGAAGAGAAGCACTGGTGTACCACCAACACTATCCCCTGGTGTGACTGTTACACCTGAAGTCACTACTAAGACAAAAACAGAGGAACCAGGTACTGATACTACATTAGAACCAGTCAGTACAATAACAGCAGAGAAGAGAAGCACGGGTACAACTCCAACACAACCCCCTGGCATGACTATGACATACAGTCCAACTTCTGAAATTTCTTCGCCTGAATTAACCACTAAGGCAAAAACAGAAGAACCAGGCACTGACACTACATTGAAACCAGCCAGTACAATGACATCAGAGGAGAGAAGCACTGGTTCACCTCCAACACAATCCCCTGAGGCGACTATGACATACAGTTCAACTTCTGGAACTACTTCACCTGAAGTTACCACTAAAGCAAAAACAGAGAAACCTGGCACTGATATTACATTGTTACCAGTGAGTACAATAACAGCAGAGGAGAGAAGCACTGGTACTCCTCCAACACAACCCCCTGGTGTGACTGTGACATACAGTTCAACTACTGGAATTTCTTCGCCTGAAGTTACTACTAAAGCAAAAACAGAGGAACCAGGCACTGGAACTACATTGGAACCACCCAGTACAATGATAGTAGAGGAGAAAAGCACTGCTGCACCTCCAACACAATCCGTTGGTGCGTCTGTGACACCTGAAGTTACCACTAAGGCAAAAACAGTAGAACCAGGCACTGATACTACATTGGAACCAGCCAGTACAATGACAGCAGAGAGAAGCACTGGTTCACCTCAAACACAATCCGTTGGTGCGTCTGTGACACCTGAAGTTACCACTAAGGCAAAAACAGTAGAACCTGGCACTGATACTACATTGGAACCAGCCAGTACAATGACAGCAGAGAGAAGCGCTGGTACACCTCCGACACAATCCCCTGGTGTGACTGTGACATCTGAAGTTACCACTAAGACAAAAACAGAGGAACCAGGCATTGACACTACATTGGTACCAGTGAGTACAATAACAGCTAAGTGGAGAAGCACGGGTACAACTCCAACACAACCCCCTGGTGTGACTATGACATACAGTTCAACCTCTGAAATTTCTTCGCTTGAAGTTACTACTAAAGCAAAAACAGAGGAACCAGGCACTGGAACTACATTGGAACCACCCAGTACAATGATAGTAGAGGAGAAAAGCACTGCTGCACCTCCAACGCAATCCGTTGGTGCGTCTGTGACACCTGAAGTTACCACTAAGGCAAAAACAGAGGAACCAGGCACTGATACTACATTGGAACCAGTGAGTACAATGACAACAGCAGAGAGAAGCACTGGTGTACCACCAACACTATCCCCTGGTGTGACTGTTACACCTGAAGTCACTACTAAGACAAAAACAGAGGAACCAGGCACTGTTACTACATTAGAACCATTCAGTACAATAACAGCAGAGAAGAGAAGCACGGGTACAACTCCATCACAACCCCCTGGCATGACTATGACATACAGTTCAACTTCTGAAATTTCTTCGCCTGAATTAACCACTAAGGCAAAAACAGAGGAACCAGGCACTGACACTACATTGGAACCAGCCAGTACAATGACATCAGAGGAGAGAAGCACTGGTATACCTCCAACACAATCCCCTGAGGCGACTATGACATACAGTTCAACTTCTGGAACTACTTCACCTGAAGTTACCACTAAAGCAAACACAGAGAAACCTGGCACTGATACTACATTGGTACCAGTGAGTACAATAACAGCAGTGGAGAGAAGCACTGGTACCCCTCCAACACAACCCCCTGGTGTGACTATGACATACAGTTCAACTGCTGGAATTTCTTCGCCTGAAGTTACTACTAAAGCAAGAACAGAGGAACGTGGCACTGGCACTACATTGGAACCAGTCAGTACAATGATAGTAGAGGAGAGAAGCACTGGTGTACCACCAACACTATCCCCTGGTGTGACTGTTACACCTGAAGTCACTACTAAGACAAAAACAGAGGAACCAGGCACTGATACTACATTAGAACCAGTCAGTACAATAACAGCAGAGAAGAGAAGTACGGGTACAACTTCAACACAACCCCCTGGCATGACTATGACATACAGTTCAACTTCTGAAATTACTTTAGGTGAAGTTACCACTAAGGCGAAAACAGTAGAACCAAGCACTGATACTACATTGGAACCAGTTAGTACAATGACAGCAGAGGAGAGAAGCACTGGTTCACCTCCAACACAATCCCCTGGTGTGACTGTGACACCTGAAGTCACCACTAAGGCAAAAACAGAGGAACCAGGCACTGATACTACATTGGAACCAGTGAGTACAATGACAACAGAGAAGAGAAGCACTGGTGTACCACCAACACTATCCCCTGGTGTGACTGTTACACCTGAAGTCACTACTAAGACAAAAACAGAGGAACCAGGTACTGATACTACATTAGAACCAGTCAGTACAATAACAGCAGAGAAGAGAAGCATGGGTACAACTCCAACACAACCCCCTGGCATGACTATGACATACAGTCCAACTTCTGAAATTTCTTCGCCTGAATTAACCACTAAGGCAAAAACAGAAGAACCAGGCACTGACACTACATTGAAACCAGCCAGTACAATGACATCAGAGGAGAGAAGCACTGGTTCACCTCCAACACAATCCCCTGAGGCGACTATGACATACAGTTCAACTTCTGGAACTACTTCACCTGAAGTTACCACTAAAGCAAAAACAGAGAAACCTGGCACTGATATTACATTGTTACCAGTGAGTACAATAACAGCAGAGGAGAAAAGCACTGGTACTCCTCCAACACAACCCCCTGGTGTGACTGTGACATACAGTTCAACTACTGGAATTTCTTCGCCTGAAGTTACTACTAAAGCAAAAACAGAGGAACCAGGCACTGGAACTACATTGGAACCACCCAGTACAATGATAATAGAGGAGAAAAGCACTGCTGCACCTCCAACACAATCCGTTGGTGCGTCTGTGACACCTGAAGTTACCACTAAGGCAAAAACAGTAGAACCAGGCACTGATACTACATTGGAACCAGCCAGTACAATGACAGCAGAGAGAAGCACTGGTTCACCTCAAACACAATCCGTTGGTGCGTCTGTGACACCTGAAGTTACCACTAAGGCAAAAACAGTAGAACCTGGCACTGATACTACATTGGAACCAGCCAGTACAATGACAGCAGAGAGAAGCGCTGGTACACCTCCGACACAATCCCCTGGTGTGACTGTGACATCTGAAGTTACCACTAAGACAAAAACAGAGGAACCAGGCATTGACACTACATTGGTACCAGTGAGTACAATAACAGCTAAGTGGAGAAGCACGGGTACAACTCCAACACAACCCCCTGGTGTGACTATGACATACAGTTCAACCTCTGAAATTTCTTCGCTTGAAGTTACTACTAAAGCAAAAACAGAGGAACCAGGCACTGGAACTACATTGGAACCACCCAGTACAATGATAGTAGAGGAGAAAAGCACTGCTGCACCTCCAACACAATCCGTTGGTGCGTCTGTGACACCTGAAGTTACCACTAAGGCAAAAACAGAGGAACCAGGCACTGATACTACATTGGAACCAGTGAGTACAATGACAACAGCAGAGAGAAGCACTGGTGTACCACCAACACTATCCCCTGGTGTGACTGTTACACCTGAAGTCACTACTAAGACAAAAACAGAGGAACCAGGCACTGTTACTACATTAGAACCATTCAGTACAATAACAGCAGAGAAGAGAAGCACGGGTACAACTCCATCACAACCCCCTGGCATGACTGTGACATACAGTTCAACTTCTGAAATTTCTTCGCCTGAAGTTACTACTAAAGCAAAAACAGAAGAACCAGGCACTGGAACTACATTGGAACCACCCAGTACAATGATAGTAGAGGAGAAAAGCACTGGTGCACCTCCAACACAATCCGTTGGTGCGTCTGTGACACCTGAAGTTACCACTAAGGCAAAAACAGTAGAACCAAGTACTGATACTACATTGGAACCAGCTAGTACAATGACAGCAGAGAGAAGCACTGGTTCACCTCCAACACAATCCCCTGGTGTGACTGTGACACCTGAAGTTACCACTAAGGCAAAAACAGAGGAACCAGGCACTGATACTACATTGGAACCAGTCAGTACAATAACAGCAGAGAAGAGAAGTACGGGTACAACTCCAACACAACCCCCTGGCATGACTATGACACTCAGTTCAACTTCTGAAATTACTTCAGCTGAAGTTACCACTAAGGCAAAAACAGTAGAACCAAGCACTGATACTACATTGGAACCAGCTAGTACAATGACAGCAGAGGAGAGAAGCACTGGTTCACCTCCAACACAATCCCCTGGTGTGACTGTGACACCTGAAGTTACCACTAAGGCAAAAACAGAGGAACCAGGCACTGATACTACATTGGAACCAGTGAGTACAATGACAACAGAGAAGAGAAGCACTGGTGTACCACCAACACTATCCCCTGGTGTGACTGTTACACCTGAAGTCACTACTAAGACAAAAACAGAGGAACCAGGTACTGATACTACATTAGAACCAGTCAGTACAATAACAGCAGAGAAGAGAAGCACGGGTACAACTCCAACACAACCCCCTGGCATGACTATGACATACAGTCCAACTTCTGAAGTTTCTTCGCCTGAATTAACCACTAAGGCAAAAACAGAAGAACCAGGCACTGACACTACATTGAAACCAGCCAGTACAATGACATCAGAGGAGAGAAGCACTGGTTCACCTCCAACACAATCCCCTGAGGCGACTATGACATACAGTTCAACTTCTGGAACTACTTCACCTGAAGTTACCACTAAAGCAAAAACAGAGAAACCTGGCACTGATATTACATTGTTACCAGTGAGTACAATAACAGCAGAGGAGAGAAGCACTGGTACTCCTCCAACACAACCCCCTGGTGTGACTGTGACATACAGTTCAACTACTGGAATTTCTTCGCCTGAAGTTACTACTAAAGCAAAAACAGAGGAACCAGGCACTGGAACTACATTGGAACCACCCAGTACAATGATAGTAGAGGAGAAAAGCACTGGTGCACCTCCAACACAATCCGTTGGTGCGTCTGTGACACCTGAAGTTACCACTAAGGCAAAAACAGTAGAACCAAGTACTGATACTACATTGGAACCAGCTAGTACAATGACAGCAGAGAGAAGCACTGGTTCACCTCCAACACAATCCCCTGGTGTGACTGTGACACCTGAAGTTACCACTAAGGCAAAAACAGAGGAACCAGGCACTGATACTACATTGGAACCAGTCAGTACAATAACAGAAGAGAAGAGAAGTACGGGTACAACTCCAACACAACCCCCTGGCATGACTATGACACACAGTTCAACTTCTGAAATTACTTCAGCTGAAGTTACCACTAAGGCAAAAACAGTAGAACCAAGCACTGATACTACATCGGAACCAGCTAGTACAATGACAGCAGAGGAGAGAAGCACTGGTGTACCACCAACACTATCCCCTGGTGTGACTGTTACACCTGAAGTCACTACTAAGACAAAAACAGAGGAACCAGGTACTGATACTACATTAGAACCAGTCAGTACAATGACAACAGAGAAGAGAAGCACTGGTGTACCACCAACACTATCCCCTGGTGTGACTGTTACACCTGAAGTCACTACTAAGACAAAAACAGAGGAACCAGGTACTGATACTACATTAGAACCAGTCAGTACAATAACAGCAGAGAAGAGAAGCACGGGTACAACTCCAACACAACCCCCTGGCATGACTATGACATACAGTCCAACTTCTGAAATTTCTTCGCCTGAATTAACCACTAAGGCAAAAACAGAAGAACCAGGCACTGACACTACATTGAAACCAGCCAGTACAATGACATCAGAGGAGAGAAGCACTGGTTCACCTCCAACACAATCCGTTGGTGCGTCTGTGACACCTGAAGTTACCACTAAGGCAAAAACAGTAGAACCAGGCACTGATACTACATTGGAACCAGCCAGTACAATGACAGCAGAGAGAAGCACTGGTTTACCTCAAACACAATCCGTTGGTGCGTCTGTGACACCTGAAGTTACCACTAAGGCAAAAACAGTAGAACCTGGCACTGATACTACATTGGAACCAGCCAGTACAATGACAGCAGAGAGAAGCGCTGGTCCACCTCCGACACAATCCCCTGGTGTGACTGTGACATCTGAAGTTACCACTAAGACAAAAACAGAGGAACCAGGCATTGACACTACATTGGTACCAGTGAGTACAATAACAGCTAAGTGGAGAAGCACGGGTACAACTCCAACACAACCCCCTGGTGTGACTATGACATACGGTTCAACTTCTGAAATTTCTTCGCCTGAAGTTACTACTAAAGCAAAAACAGAGGAACCAGGCACTGGAACTACATTGGAACCACCCAGTACAATGATAGTAGAGGAGAAAAGCACTGGTGCACCTCCAACACAATCCCCTGGTGTGACTGTGACACCTGAAGTTACAACTAAGACAAAAACAGAGGAACCAGGCACTGATACTACATTGGAAGCAGTCAGTACTGGTACACCGCCAACACAATTCCCTGGTGTTACTATGACATACAGTTCAACTACTGGTATTATTTTACCTGAAGTTACCACAAAGGCAAAAACAGTTGAACCAGGCACTGATACTACATTACAACCAGCGAGTACTGGTACAACTCCAACACAATCCTCTGGTGTGACTATGACATACAGTTCAACTACTGGAATTACTTCAGCTGATGTTACCACTAAGGCAAAAACAGTAGAAGCAGGCATTGATACTACATTGGAACCAACCAGTACAATGACGGCAGAGGAGAGAAGCACTGGTTCACCTCCAACACAATCCCCTAGTGTGACTGTGACACCTGACGTTACAACTAAAACGAAAACAAAGGAACCAGGCACTGATACTACATTGGAACCAGCTAGTACAATGACAGCAGAGGAGAGAAGCACTGGTGTACCACCAACACAATCCCCTGGTGTGACTGTTACACCTGAAGTTACCACTAAGACAAAAACAGAGGAACCAGGCACTGATACTACATTTAGAACCAGTCAGTACAATAACAGCAGAGAAGAGACGCACGGGTACAACTCCAACACAACCCCCTGGCATGACTATGACATACAGTCCAACTTCTGAAATTTCTTCGCCTGAATTAACCATTAAGGCAAAAACAGAGGAACCAGGCACTGACACTACATTGAAACCAGCCAGTACAATGACATCAGAGGAGAGAAGCAATGGTTTACCTCCAACACAATCACCTGAGGCGACTATGACATACAGTTCAACTTTTGGAACTACTTCACCTGAAGTTACCACTAAAGCAAAAACAGAGAAACCTGGCACTGATATTACATTGGTACCAGTGAGTACAATAACAGCAGAGGAGAGAAGCACTGGTACTCCTCCAACACAACCCCCTGGTGTGACTGTGACATACAGTTCAACTTCTGAAATTTCTTCGCCTGAAGTTACTACTAAAGCAAAAACAGAGGAACCAGGCACTGGAACTACATTGGAACCACCCAGTACAATGATAGTAGAGGAGAAAAGCACTGGTGCACCTCCAACACAATCCGTTGGTGCGTCTGTGACACCTGAAGTTACCACTAAGGCAAAAACAGTAGAACCAAGTACTGATACTACATTGGAACCAGCTAGTACAATGACAGCAGAGAGAAGCACTGGTTCACCTCCAACACAATCCCCTGGTGTGACTGTGACACCTGAAGTTACCACTAAGGCAAAAACAGAGGAACCAGACACTGATACTACATTGGAACCAGTCAGTACAATAACAGCAGAGAAGAGAAGTACGGGTACAACTCCAACACAACCCCCTGGCATGACTATGACACACAGTTCAACTTCTGAAATTACTTCAGCTGAAGTTACCACTAAGGCAAAAACAGTAGAACCAAGCACTGATACTACATTGGAACCAGCTAGTACAATGACAGCAGAGGAGAGAAGCACTGGTTCACCTCCAACACAATCCCCTGGTGTGACTGTGACACCTGAAGTTACCACTAAGGCAAAAACAGAGGGACCCAGGCATTGACACTACATTGGTACCAGTGAGTACATAACAGCTAAGGGGAGAAGCACGGGTACAACTCCAACACAACCCCCTGGTGTGACTATGACATACAGTTCAACTTCTGAAAATTTCTTTCGCCTGAAGTTACTACTAAAGCAAAAACAGAGGAACCAGGCACTGGAACTACATTGGAACCACCCAGTACAATGATAGTAGAGGAGAAAAGCACTGGTGCACCTCCAACACAATCCCCTGGTGTGACTGTGACACCTGAAGTTACAACTAAGACAAAAACAGAGGAACCAGGCACTGATACTACATTGGAAGCAGTCAGTACTGGTACACCGCCAACACAATTCCCTGGTGTTACTATGACGTACAGTTCAACTACTGGTATTATTTTACCTGAAGTTACCACAAAGGCAAAAACAGTTGAACCAGGCACTGATACTACATTACAACCAGCGAGTACTGGTACAACTCCAACACAATCCCCTGGTGTGACTATGACATACAGTTCAACTACTGGAATTACTTCAGCTGAAGTTACCACTCAGGCAAAAACAGTAGAACCAGGCACTGACACTACATTGAAACCAGCCAGTACAATGACATCAGAGGAGAGAAGCACTGGTACACCTCCAACACAATCCCCTGGTGTGACTATGACATACAGTTCAACTACTGGAACTACTTCACCTGAAGTTACCACTAAAGCAAAAACAGAGAAACCTGGCACTGATATTACATTGGTACCAGTGAGTACAATAACAGCAGAGGAGAGAAGCACTGGTACTCCTCCAACACAACCCCCTGGTGTGACTGTGACATACAGTTCAAATACTGGAATTTTTTCGCCTGAAGTTACTACTAAAGCAAAAACAGAGGAACCAGGCACTGGAACTACATTGGAACCAACCAGTACAATGATAGTAGAGGAGAAAAGCACTGGTGCACCTCCAACACAATCCGTTGGTGCGTCTGTGACACCTGAAGTTACCACTAAGGCAAAAACAGTAGAACCAAGTACTGATACTGATACTACATTGGAACCAGCTAGTACAATGACAGCAGAGAGAAGCACTGGTTCACCTCCAACACAATCCCATGGTGTGACTGTGCCACCTGAAGTTACCACTAAGGCAAAAACAGAGGAACCAGGCACTGATACTACATTGGAACCACTCAGTACAATAACAGCAGAGAAGGGAAGTACGGGTACAACTCCAACACAACCCCCTGGCATGACTATGACACACAGTTCAACTTCTGAAATTACTTCAGCTGAAGTTACCACTAAGGCAAAAACAGTAGAACCAAGCACTGATACTACATTGGAACCAGCTAGTACAATGACAGCAGAGGAGAGAAGCACTGGTTCACCTCCAACACAATCCCCTGGTGTGACTGTTACACCTGAAGGCACTACTAAGACAAAAACAGAGGAACCAGGCACTGATACTACATTAGAACCAGTCAGTACAATAACAACAGAGAAGAGAAGCACTGTTGTACCACCAACACTATCCCCTGGTGTGACTTTTACACCTGAAGTCACTACTAAGACAAAAACAGAGGAACCAGGCACTGATACTACATTAGAACCAGTCAGTACAATAACAGCAGAGAAGAGAAGCACGGGTACAACTCCAACACAACCCCCTGGCATGACTATGACATACAGTCCAACTTCTGAAATTTCTTCGCTTGAATTAACCACTAAGGCAAAAACAGAGGAACCAGGCACTGACACTACATTGAAACCAGCCAGTACAATGACATCAGAGGAAAGAAGCACTGGTACACCTCCAACACAATCCGTTGGTGCGTCTGTGACACCTGAAGTTACCACTAAGGCAAAAACAGTAGAACCAGGCACTGATACTACATTGGAACCAGCCAGTACAATGACAGCAGAGAGAAGCACTGGTGCACCTCTAACACAATCCGCTGGTGCGTCTGTGACACCTGAAGTTACCACTAAGGCAAAAACAGTAGAACCAGACACTGATACTACATTGGAACCAGCCAGTACAATGACATCAGAGGAGAGAAGCAATGGTATACCTCCAACACAATCCCCTGAGGCGACTATGACTTACAGTTCAACTTCTGGAACTACTTCACCTGAAGTTACCACTAAAGCAAAAACAGAGAAACCTGGCACTGATACTACATTGGTACCAGTGAGTAAAATAACAGCAGAGGAGAGAAGCACTGGTACTCCTCCAACACAACCCCCTGGTGTGACTGTGACATACAGTTCAACTACTGGAATTTCTTTGCCTGAAGTTACTACTAAAGCAAAAACAGAGGAACCAGGCACTGGCACTACATTGGAACCAGTCAGTACAATGATAGTAGAGGAAAGAAGCACGGGTGTACCACCAACACTATCCCCTGGTGTGACTGTTACACCTGAAGGCACTACTAAGACAAAAACAGAGGAACCAGGCACTGATACTACATTAGAACCAGTCAGTACAATAACAGCAGAGAAGAGAAGTACGGGTACAACTCCAACACAACCCCCTGGCATGACTATGACACACAGTTCAACTTCTGAAATTACTTCAGCTGAAGTTACCACTAAGGCAAAAACAGAGGATCCAGGCACTGATACTACATTGGAACCAGTGAGTACAATGACAACAGAGACGAGAAGCACTGGTGTACCACCAACACTATCCCCTGGTGTGACTGTTACACCTGAAGTCACTACTAAGACAAAAACAGAGGAACCAGGCACTGATACTACATTAGCACCAGTCAGTACAATAACAGCAGAGAAGAGAAGCATGGGTACAACTCCAACACAACCCCCTGGCATGACTATGACATACAGTCCAACTTCTGAAATTTCTTCGCCTGAATTAACCACTAAGGCAAAAACAGAGGAACCAGGCACTGACACTACATTGAAACCAGCCAGTACAATGACATCAGAGGAAAGAAGCACTGGTACAACTCCAACACAATCCCCTGGTGTGACTATGACATACGGTTCAACTACTGGAATTCCTTCGCCTGAAGTAACCACTAGGGCAAAAACAGAGGAACCAGGCACTGACACTACATTGAAACCAGCCAGTACAATGACATCAGAGGAGAGAAGCGCTGGTACACCTCCGACACAATCCCCTGGTGTGACTGTGACATCTGAAGTTACCACTAAGCCAAAAACAGAGGAACCAGGCACTGACACTACATTGAAACCAGCCAGTACAATGACATCAGAGGAGAGAAGCGCTGGTACACCTCCGACACAATCCCCTGGTGTGACTGTGACATCTGAAGTTACCACTAAGACAAAAACAGAGGAACCAGGCACTGACACTACATTGAAACCAGCCAGTACAATGACATCAGAGGAAAGAAGCACGGGTACAACTCCAACACAACCCCCTGGCATGACTATGACATACAGTTCAACTTCTGAAATTACTTCAGCTGAAGTTACCACTAAGGCAAAAACAGTAGAAGCAGGCATTGATACTACATTGGAACCAACCAGTACAATGAAGGCAGAGGAGAGAAGCACTGGTTCACCTCCAACACAATCCCCTAGTGGGACTGTGACACCTGACGTTACAACTAAGACGAAAACAGAGGAACCAGGCACTGATACTACATTGGAACCAGCTAGTACAATGACAGCACAGGAGAGAAGCACTGGTTCACCTCCAACACAATCCCCTGGTGTGACTGTGACACCTAAAGTTACCACTAAGGCAAAAACAGAGGAACCAGGCACTGATACTACATTGGAACCAGCCAGTACAATGACAGCAGAGAGAAGCACTGGTTCACCTCAAACACAATCCGTTGGTGCGTCTGTGACACCTGAAGTTACCACTAAGGCAAAAACAGTAGAACCTGGCACTGATACTGCATTGGAACCAGCCAGTACAATGACAGCAGAGAGAAGCGCTGGTACACCTCCGACACAATCCCCTGGTGTGACTGTGACATCTGAAGTTACCACTAAGACAAAAACAGAGGAACCAGGCATTGACACTACATTGGTACCAGTGAGTACAATAACAGCTAAGTGGAGAAGCACGGGTACAACTCCAACACAACCCCCTGGTGTGACTATGACATACGGTTCAACCTCTGAAATTTCTTCGCTTGAAGTTACTACTAAAGCAAAAACAGAGGAACCAGGCACTGGAACTACATTGGAACCACCCAGTACAATGATAGTAGAGGAGAAAAGCACTGCTGCACCTCCAACACAATCCGTTGGTGCGTCTGTGACACCTGAAGTTACCACTAAGGCAAAAACAGAGGAACCAGGCACTGATACTACATTGGAACCAGTGAGTACAATGACAACAGCAGAGAGAAGCACTGGTGTACCACCAACACTATCCCCTGGTGTGACTGTTACACCTGAAGTCACTACTAAGACAAAAACAGAGGAACCAGGCACTGTTACTACATTAGAACCATTCAGTACAATAACAGCAGAGAAGAGAAGCACGGGTACAACTCCATCACAACCCCCTGGCATGACTATGACATACAGTTCAACTTCTGAAATTTCTTCGCCTGAATTAACCACTAAGGCAAAAACAGAGGAACCAGGCACTGACACTACATTGGAACCAGCCAGTACAATGACATCAGAGGAGAGAAGCACTGGTATACCTCCAACACAATCCCCTGAGGCGACTATGACATACAGTTCAACTTCTGGAACTACTTCACCTGAAGTTACCACTAAAGCAAAAACAGAGAAACCTGGCACTGATATTACATTGTTACCAGTGAGTACAATAACAGCAGTGGAGAGAAGGACTGGTACCCCTCCAACACAACCCCCTGGTGTGACTATGACATACAGTTCAACTGCTGGAATTTCTTCGCCTGAAGTTACTACTAAAGCAAGAACAGAGGAACGTGGCACTGGCACTACATTGGAACCAGTCAGTACAATGATAGTAGAGGAGAGAAGCACTGGTGTACCACCAACACTATCCCCTGGTGTGACTGTTACACCTGAAGTCACTACTAAGACAAAAACAGAGGAACCAGGCACTGATACTACATTAGAACCAGTCAGTACAATAACAGCAGAGAAGAGAAGTACGGGTACAACTTCAACACAACCCCCTGGCATGACTATGACATACAGTTCAACTTCTGAAATTACTTTAGGTGAAGTTACCACTAAGGCGAAAACAGTAGAACCAAGCACTGATACTACATTGGAACCAGTTAGTACAATGACAGCAGAGGAGAGAAGCACTGGTTCACCTCCAACACAATCCCCTGGTGTGACTGTGACACCTGAAGTCACCACTAAGGCAAAAACAGAGGAACCAGGCACTGATACTACATTGGAACCAGTGAGTACAATGACAACAGAGAAGAGAAGCACTGGTGTACCACCAACACTATCCCCTGGTGTGACTGTTACACCTGAAGTCACTACTAAGACAAAAACAGAGGAACCAGGTACTGATACTACATTAGAACCAGTCAGTACAATAACAGCAGAGAAGAGAAGCACGGGTACAACTCCAACACAACCCCCTGGCATGACTATGACATACAGTCCAACTTCTGAAATTTCTTCGCCTGAATTAACCACTAAGGCAAAAACAGTAGAAGCAGGCATTGATACTACATTGGAACCAACCAGTACAATGAAGGCAGAGGAGAGAAGCACTGGTTCACCTCCAACACAATCCCCTAGTGGGACTGTGACACCTGACGTTACAACTAAGACGAAAACAGAGGAACCAGGCACTGATACTACATTGGAACCAGCTAGTACAATGACAGCACAGGAGAGAAGCACTGGTTCACCTCCAACACAATCCCCTGGTGTGACTGTGACACCTAAAGTTACCACTAAGGCAAAAACAGAGGAACCAGGCACTGATACTACATTGGAACCAGCCAGTACAATGACAGCAGAGAGAAGCACTGGTTCACCTCAAACACAATCCGTTGGTGCGTCTGTGACACCTGAAGTTACCACTAAGGCAAAAACAGTAGAACCTGGCACTGATACTGCATTGGAACCAGCCAGTACAATGACAGCAGAGAGAAGCGCTGGTACACCTCCGACACAATCCCCTGGTGTGACTGTGACATCTGAAGTTACCACTAAGACAAAAACAGAGGAACCAGGCATTGACACTACATTGGTACCAGTGAGTACAATAACAGCTAAGTGGAGAAGCACGGGTACAACTCCAACACAACCCCCTGGTGTGACTATGACATACGGTTCAACCTCTGAAATTTCTTCGCTTGAAGTTACTACTAAAGCAAAAACAGAGGAACCAGGCACTGGAACTACATTGGAACCACCCAGTACAATGATAGTAGAGGAGAAAAGCACTGCTGCACCTCCAACACAATCCGTTGGTGCGTCTGTGACACCTGAAGTTACCACTAAGGCAAAAACAGAGGAACCAGGCACTGATACTACATTGGAACCAGCTAGTACAATGACAGCACAGGAGAGAAGCACTGGTTCACCTCCAACACAATCCCCTGTGTGACTGTGACACCTAAAGTTACCACT